GGAACTCCTACAAGGCTACCGGAGTTCGTGCCCCTGCCCCTGCAGCTTCCTTTCTCACTTTTTCTTTCTAGCTCTTTCACTCACTCTAGCTTTTTATCTGTGGTAAGCGCATGTGATCTATATCAAATAATACTAATAGTATATAAAATTAAATAAATAATTATTTTTAAAAACTAAAAAGTAAAAATCCTTCTGCATGATGGCACTGTTGCTCCAAAAATTCTAACCTTTCCTGTCTCCTCTGCATCTCCCTCTGCCCTTTCTGTGTGAAAAAAACAAAAGGAAGGAGTAGAAGCTAATGAAAACCTAGAAGTGGAGTTCATTTTGTTGAGGTGTTGGGCAAAATTCCATCCCTTCCTCTTGGGCACTTAAAGGAGAATACAAAGACCTATGCCTGCCCACCAGAAAGAATAGATGTGAGTTGCTACATCATCTCCTTAAGACTTTTCAGGGCAGATACCTTGTTAGCAGATCCCCAGGCGTACTTTGGGCATTGTGGCTGGGTAGCCTTGGGTAGAATTGTTGCTCTCATGGGGACATCTCCTCATACCTTGAGCTGGAGTGAGTGCCTGGAATTTCCCCTCTTATCCTGGTGTCATTTCTCCTCTTGTCTCCTTGCCCCACTCTAACTCAGCTCAATCCCAGTGACCTCAGCCAGCAGCCCCATGCAGCTTAAGGTCTCAGAAGCAGAAGGCAGGCTGTGGAGTCCCTAGGCCCTGCAGGACTTAGCGCTCCCCAAAAGTGGCCAGTTCCCTTGCAGGCCAAGCGGAGCAGCCCAACACTGCAAACTCCATGTTGCAGCCAGCAAGGCCCAGGCTTGGCATTTTCTCTTAAGCAGTGGGTAGAAGGAGTGGACTTGGCAGGGAGGGCAGGGTGGCATCCGGTGGAGCAACACCGCCATCAAGAGGAATTAGTTTGCCAGTCCCGCAAAACCCTCCCTGTGACTTTCTGCGGAGGAGTGGCTTGGGCGGAGAGAGCTGCCTCCTGGCAGCCCAGCAGGGAGAGCCCCTGGAGGGTCCAGAGCCAGGGAGGCAGGGGGCAGGCATGACCTCTGGCCTGAGGCCGGGTCTGCCCTTGCACGGTCCTGAGATGGGGAGTAGGACCCAGCGGGCAGCCGAGGCGCCAAGCAGATCTGGTATAGGGAGCGCAGACTGCACAAGTGGTTGGTGGCAGCCATATTTGGGTGTGACTGGCAAACACTTCTGTGAGTGAGCCATTGCCCCAGAATCTTGAGCAATTTGCCTCTCTTAACTTTTCATGTTTTGCCTAAGGTTGGCTTGGTCTTCTTTTATATTGTATTTTTTCAAGTGTTCCATGAGGGATGTGGGTGTGAGACAGAGAATAAGGGTACCTCCAACAGAGTCTCCATGCCAATATCTATCCGAAAGGACTGTGATTATATTCAGAGGGTACTCCGCCTGAGATGTGAACCCATGATGCTTCCCATGTGGGTCCAACTGTGGCCTCTTGTGCCTGGCTCCAGCAAAGTTTTTTGATCCTGCTTCATCTGTGGTTCTTCACAGCCAATGACTACCCCTATTTCCAGTATGCTAAGGCCACTGGAACCTTTGTTGACGAATCTAGGTGGGTTTCTCTTCGAGGTACAAAAATCAGGGCCTTCCAAGGCTGCCTATACAGGTGCATTTGAAGACTTCCTTCTTGGATACTATTCTCAAGAGTGTCCAGAACATAATGAACATGTGCGTGAATGGACAGGGATCCTGTTCATCTGACACTAGAGATCTCAACCCCATGCCTTCCCTGTTTCCTGGAAATCAAAAATGGAATAAGACATTCAGTCTAAAACTCCCCACTATTTTCTTGAGACTCTCTTCCCTCCATCCTACATCTCTTTCTGTGTGCCCCTTCTAGCCCAATTTCTCTTCCTTTATCCTAACTCCACCACTCTTCAAGCATGTTTTCCATGGACAGGAAGAAGGTACACATTTCTGGACACTCTGATCATAGGGCTATAACCTAACTCTCCCGATAGCCCACATCTATATAATCTCTGGCTTTGGTCTGGCCCTTTGTAGGACCTATTTGCAAGGGATTTGTGCCTTTTTAATTTTTTTCCAGAATTGCCACATAGGTCTGATGAAAAGTATCAAGGCACAGTGCTAACCCCTTTCTTTCACACTCCTTCATCAGTGCTAAAAACCACTTCCTGCTCCACATTATATCACAATACTCATTAGGTTTCCAACATGTCGCCAAGTGTTCTCAAGGGAGCAGACCTTTTGGGGTGCTGAATGACTAAACAACCCTCTTCTTTGCCAAACCCTCGGCCATGGTCTTGACTTCCTCTCTCTAATTAAACCTCAGCCCAATGAGCATGGTGGATTCAACAAGGTCCTTTAGACAGACCAGCGCTGTGAGACCGCCAGACTCACACAACACAGAACTCCTCTGCTCCTCACCTTTCAGCCTCACAGACTTTTCGCCCCTGCATGTGATTTCGAAGATCTTCCAGAATAAAACGAAACAGGTCATATATGAAGGTACCCAGTAAGGGTTTCAAATGGACTATTACTATCCACTCGCACTTGTGCTAAGCAGATGGTGGTTCTCACACTCTTTGGAATGAGGCCTGTCTTCATATACGGATTAGGTATTGGCACTCTGTTTTATTGAAGAATATGCATGGAATGGCATCCTGTGGGGCCTGTGACCAGATTATGTCTGACAGGAGAACAAAGCAAACACTACTTGAACTGTAACACACCTGATTTTTACCTCCTTCTCTAATACCCAATAATCAGGAAACTGTCTATTCTTTCTCCTGGATGCTGCCCCTGATAGCCGCCCACTGTTGCCTCCCATTGACTTCTATGGACCTGAGCCCTCCAAATGGGGCATCTGGACCTGGGTCCCTCTTGGCCCTAATAACTGCCATAACCAGCCCTGCCACCTACTGGCAGACTTCATTCCCACCAAGAAAAGGAAACAAGAGGCCAGATGCCCTACAGTAGCTTCAGCTCCTGGTTAGTAAACATGGCGGCCACCAAGGCCTATCCTAGACCTTGTCCCGATTGTGAAAGGGCCGACAGCCCTAGTTACCCAGGCATCTTCAACGGTCAGGGCTGGCTTTTTCACATTCCCCGCAACTTTGGAGGTGCCCGTTGGGTTGACCAGAGTGAGTCCTAAAATTCGCTGAAAGCCTTTAGTTAGTCTTTCCTCATAGCGGAGGCCTCACCTACTGGATTCACACAGAGCCCAGGAGCCACGCAAGAAAATCTTCCGCTTGATGGCAGTGTTGCCTCAGAAATACCAACGTTTCTGGCCTCTGAATCTCCCTCCACCTTTCGTGGATGAAAAAAAATAAATCCAAGAAGGTCCAAATGCCATGTAAGCCCTAGAAGTGAGATTTCCTTTTGGGTTGCTACTAGAAATATGTTTCTTACTTTGGGACACTCACGGATGGAATATAACAAGTAAACCAAACCATTAAATGGAATGAGTGTTACCCACTCTGTGTTGCTACAACATCTCTATATAGTTTACAGTCTAGATACTTTATTAATTGGGGTATAATTAAGGGTGGTAGGTGGTTTGGGCATTCTAGGGTAAAATTATTGCTTTTGTGGAGCCATTGATTCACAGCTTCAGGTGGGTTGCTTGCCTGCAATTTCTCCTCATATGTTGGTGTCATTGTTCCTCATCTGCCTTTACCCCTCGTACATCGACTCAATGCCAGTGACCCTCAACAGGCCGCCTCATTCAGGTGACATTCTCAGGAACAGGCCTAAGAGGGGGATCAGGCCATTGTGTGTGTGGCAGCAACAGACAGGGGCCATGTCAGGTGAACATACGGGGAGGAGGATGCCCTTACTCACACCTCGATGGTCCTAGGCTAGTCATTCCTCATGCAGGTCCCACAAGCTGCACATAACTCATTAGTTACCAAACAAACGATAGTCAGGTGTCCTCTAATAGTACCAGAGAAGCAAAGTAACTTTTGGTACCTCGCCAAGAAGACCACAGCTGCAGACTGGAGCATAGAACCCTGCCTATGGCTCGTGGTGCTACACAAGGAAAACAGGACACATATGGGTCAGTTGTACCTTTTCCATGTTCCTCAGGAATAAATAAAGTAATTTTGAAGCAAATAAAAACAGAATGTTAGAGGAACCACATTGTGAGGTGAAGTTTCCTAAAAGAGGCAAGCTGCTTTGTGCAACAGAATAAATTGTGTTCTAGATGGTTATAAGTCCTAAACCCTACAAGGAATTCCAGGTTGTCAGGGATGCTCTGAGTGTCATATGGGTGGTGAAGAAATGTCAGCCCTCAGCTAGCCCCTTAATGCAAACCTTAAGTTGTGTGTGGAGAGAACCAGATTACAAATAGCCTGTCAGGCCTTAAGTACCTCCCCAGTGATTTGAGAAATACACTGGGCACATGTTTATATGACCCCAGGTTCCTGAATACATAAAGAATTTCTGGAAAAGGCATTGTGGCATTAACGTGCCCCATTAGAGGGTGCATTTTCTCTTTGCTTCTCTCTCTTTTGCAATAAAGAACAAGAAGGTAACAAAAAAATGTGATGGAGAGTCAGTAATGCAAATGAGAATTATTTATATGAGCTAGGGCTTAGGATGGATTTACTAGGCTGATACAAATCTCCAGAAGCCTAGAAGGTGCGTCGCAAAACTGGTTGTTAAGGAGACTAGTTTTACAATCAAGAGAAGGGCAAGAAAAAAGAAAGTTACAGGTTCTGTGGCAAGAATTCACTGTGATTCCTTTAAAGTAACCCAGGCAGCTCCTTGTCTATACCTTACTCCTTCCATGGCTAACTTGATTCACATTGCAGTACAGGAAGGCTGGGGTCACATCCTAACCATCTGCAGGTCAGCTTGTTTCTGCAGGTGTGGGTATGAGCAGTGTCTCAGGCTCAGGCCTTCCATAGCCCTTTGACATTGCAAGGGCCCTTGCATTCTAGAGACTCCCTGGCTGTGTTTCTTGCTCATACACATGTATGTGTTTTCTTCTCAGAGCCTTCTGGACGAAGTAGCTGAGCTGTGGACCTTGGGCCCTGTGCAAGGAGAACAGTGTCTTTTTTGAGCAATCTGGTGTTCTTCCTGACTGGCGTAAGTGTGGGACCCTATGTTCCCAGACAGAAGGGAAACTTAAGAGAAGCCAGGCCCTCAGGTGCTGCTATTTAGGGGAGCAGTTTCTCCTTGCTCTTTACCCCTCCCTAGTGCCTCTGCGCCTCTGCACCTTGAGTCTGGCTGGCTGAGGAATCCATGTCAATTTCTTGTGAGAATGCCAACTCTGAAGGTTTCCTGGTGGGCAATTTGTGGGCTCGTTCCAAGTCTGAGCCAAATATGCAGCTTTTCCTATTGAGTCTCAAGCTACTATGCTAAACATATAGCTGTGGGTAGAAATATTTAGGTGTGTTCTCAGCCTGGCTTCATACAGATCTATTTCTCCTCGTCAGAGAGGAATTCACAGAGCCCCTTACAAGATGATTGACCAGGTGTGATAGAATAATTTTCGTTCTAGTGGTCACTAGTTAGCATGATTTTTCTTTAAAGAATGGTAAAGGGCAAGAACTTGGGGGTAGCAGTGTTGAAAGACATAGAATGGCGTTTCAGATACAAGATCGCCATAATGTAGATCTTCTTTCTAACCCTATGATCTCACTTCCTTCTTATAAATAACTAGAGAACAGAGGAAATGGAGTAGAGGCAGAGTCTGCAGCAGGATGAAGGATGGAGCCCCAGTGAGACAGGAAGTACAGCAGGCCTAAAGGAAGCATGGGTCCAGATGTTATCAGGGTGTATATGCCCGAGAGTCAAGGAGCAGAACCAGGCAGATAGCCAGAATGGCTGGTGGATCTGCGACAAGATCCCAGGTTCAAGTACCTTTTGAGAGCTGTATATGGTCAAGAACAACAGAAACTCATGAAGGCTGGCTAAGAAGACCTTTCAAAGATGAGGCTCTACAAGACTGAATACCACAACCTAGATAGCCTTTCCTGAAAGTAGTCAAGAAGTTAAGTGGCCATATTGCAACCCAAGTGGCCAAGCTGGTGGATCTGCGACAAGATCCCAGGTTCAAGTACCTTTTGAGAGCTGTATATGGTCAAGAACAACAGAAACTCATGAAGGCTGGCTAAGAAGACCTTTCAAAGATGAGGCTCTACAAGACTGAATACCACAACCTAGATAGCCTTTCCTGAAAGTAGTCAAGAAGTTAAGTGGCCATATTGCAACCCAAGTGGCCAAAGCTTAGCACGTTTCCTTCAGCAATGGGTGGATGGAGTGGACCTACAAGGAGGGTAGTAATGCATCCATAGTGCAACACTGCCATCAAGCAGAAGTTATTTCCAAATACCGCAAAAAAAAAAACTTTCCCTCTGACTTGCTGGTGAGGAATGATTTGGGGAGAATATGTCCAGGTAACACCAGAGAAAGACCCCTGAAGGAATAAGAGCTCCGGAAGACAGGGGACAAAATTATCACAGTCATTGTCAGGCTACTTATACCCCATAGTGTGGAAGCTGACCCGGAAGGACACCCATGGTGCTTGGTAAAACAAGAAACCCATTGTTTGCAGTGGGCCATATTGGGACGGAATAGTAAAAGCCTCTGTGAAGGTGTAGAGCTCCAGCACCCGGGGCATTTTCCCCATTGCTTCTTTGCACGTAGTTGGCAGCAATCACGGTCCCTCTCCTCTCCATTTGCCTGTGATTTCTAGCAGTCTGGCAGAGACCTGTCTTTAATTCTCTAACCACATGCATGGAGCAGGCAATCTTTCAGCTTCCATTGCAGACTTTGTGACCATTTCATGAATTCCAAAAATGTAAGGGTGACATGCAGGAACGGCCTTTGCTTTCTATTTCATTCTGCCCCTTCTAGCCTCAAACTCATGCTCACCCAGGGACCTCAGAATCAAGAAGGAGATAGCAGACTTTCCCTAGTATTCAAGGCTCGTGGATTTAAGACCCTCTTCCCTCCCTTCATCAATTCTTTCTGTGTGCCAAGTCTAGCATACTTTCTCTCTGTATCTCCCATCGCCACAAGCCTTCAGAAAGTCTCCCCAGGCCCAGTTGAAAATCCCTGCTCCACTTCATTCACACTACTCATGAGGTACCCATGGTATTTCCAAGTGATCTGAAGTAGGTAGGCAGTTTTGGGGGACTGACAGGCTGAACTTTTTTTGCCAAACCTCTGTTCCCTATACTTCAGACTTCCCTAACTTCTCCACCCAAGCATGTGATTCCGGGTATTTTCCCCAAGAAAATGGAGCAGGTCTTATGCACAGAGGCCCGGTAACAGGAAAATGCTGGAGTGCTCCATAATGTTAGTTCACGTGCTAAATAGACTCACGTTCCCTGATTCCAGAGGATGATATCTGCTCAACGTAGCAATGCACAGTGGGTGTCAGCACTGCATGTCCTTAGCAAGAATACATGTGGGATGTCATTTTATAGCGACTGTGACCTATACTTTTTCTGGTAGCAGTGAAAGTAAAGCAAACATTAATTTCATATCTAATGAACTTGGACTACTCTTCCTTGTCCAGAACCTGATTACTGGAAAGTTCTCCATTCTTTCTACTGGTAGGTGCTCGTATGAGTGTGCCCAGTGCCACTTGTACTTATCCTGGCAGTGCCTGACCCTCCAGATGAGATGTTGGGTTCTGGGTTTCCCATGTTCCCAAGACCACCACGACAGACTCCTGCTACCACTTATTCTCAGATCACGCTCCTGCTCCTAGGGAAAGGCTGAAGAGGTTACATGCCCTGTGGTAGGTTCAGTTCCTGGTTTCCAAATATGGCCACCACCATGGCTGACCTGCTCACTACCAAGTCCATCATGTGTCAGTCTTGGCAGATCTAAGAACCTAGGTCACCTTGATGGGCTGAGTTGGGTGGTCTGTCACTTTCACACCCTTTTTGGATGAAAAAAGAATAAAGGAGACTCAAAAAATATCCAATCCTACTAGTATGGTTTAGATTGTTGGGGTGCTGGGGGGAGTATTGTAGTAAGTAGGCATTTAGGGGAGAATATAAACGCATATTGCAACCCATCAAAAGGAATAGGCGTTCCCACATATGTGTTGCTACGTGATGTCAGTGCACATATCATGATAATGGTTCCCTAGTTTCCTCATATTTTGGGGTTAATCTTTGACTGGGGTGTACCATGGACAAAAGATGCTCTTAATGGGTCCACCTAGGTCAACCACCCTGATCTTCTCAGGAAAAAGGATGACAAGGACAACACCCAGGGTCCTGGGATCTGTTCTCTGCAGAGGTTTTCCCAAGTCCTGCCCAGATATGGCCGCTACCAGGCTCCAGTGACTGAGCACACTGCCAGACCAAGAGGCACTGGGGCTGACTACCTGGTTCCGCTGTATCTCTGGAGCATGAAGAGTCTTTTTTATTCGTTTCTTTGTGGTAGAGTCATTATTCTATACATATCTAATTGAGGTCTCTGTTGTTCCTTGGAAGCTTTCTGTTGATTGGGTCCTTTTTCTTCAAACTCTGCTAACTAAAGTGACATTGGCTCTTTTGGAAACTTACTATTTTTATGCCAAAGGGAATGTGCATGTTCACATAACGGAGACAGAGGGACGGAGCCCCCACTGGGACCTGGTCATATCACAATGCTCCTTCCTCCAAACCTCTATCCTATCAGGGTGCAGGGCTCATGCATTCAGGCCAGACTTGTTTTCATTCTGATGTGCCGAAACTCAAACCCTGTTCAGCCACATGGGTTCCACTTTCATCCATGAATGTGTAAGAGTTGCATGACATGGCCTTTCCTCTTTGGGAAAACTTCAGATCTCCCAATCTTATTCCTCTGAAACTTCTGTCTTTCCACCTCTTTTGTCCATGAGGAGCATGTAAAAAGGAACCACCCACCCACTAGGGTTCTCTATTTCCCTTGTGGAACCCAAGAATCATGGGTGTTTTTTGTTTTTTTCAGTTAAAAAAAATTTTTTTTAATCAGGTTTAAGGCTCTGTTGCCTTTGGCTATTAGAGGTGCCAAGAGTTACTTTGTACTATGGGAAGATACTTGACTTAATCAGTTAAGGCATGACTAGTTGAGATCCCTGAAGGTGACTAAGGTCATCTTTGTCCCAGTGTGCTCACCTGACAGGGCCCCCAT